GAATTAATTAATTCGACCTTAAGTTAATTCACTTTTTCTAGTGTGTATATGACCTAATTCGTTAGGGTGTCAAGTCTCACTAAACACCCCCATTGAATAACAGTTATACTTTACTGTTTTATTTATTCTTTTCAACCATCTAAAAAATTGAAAAATAAATTTCTTAAATCTGAAAAAATAAAAAATAAAATTTATCTAATCTAAAAATAAAAGATAAAATTTAATTAATCTAAAAATAAAAAATAAACTTCATTTAATCTAAAAAATAAAAAATAAATTTATTCCATCTAAAAAATAAAATAAATGTGGAAACCTCGGATTTAAATCCGAGAGTTATGTGTACTTCAGAAAGTAAATGAGACAAATCGGTCATCCTAGAATGTGCGGATATAAAAATTAGCCTGGCAAATCCTTTCTATAAACATTTGAATTCTATTGGCTACTACTCAACCAATAGGATTTCGGAGTGAACACAGCTCAGATTTGGACTCTTCGCCTTGAGTTATCCTAAAAAACTCGTTTTTCCTATAATTTGGTTTCTATTGGTCAGTGCTCAACCAATGGGGCTTCGAGTGAAGTGGATTACAAATTCGAGTTCTTCATCCTAGAAAACCTCGAAGTATTATCTCTGTGATCGGAAGATAGAGCTCGAATTGTGGATCGATTAGAGCGCAGACAAAAACAGAACCGATTTCCGTTTGTTTATCTCTGCAATAGGTGAGCTAGCCTTGTTGTTTCTTTATGTTTTATATACTGTTTTGTAGCTCGTGAAATTCTCTATCGAATGGTATGTAATAGTTGGGGGTTTATATGACTATGATAGGAAAAGTTTTTTACGAAAGCAGAGAAGGGTCTATCTTCTCATAGGGAAAAATGACTATTTTTGCAATAACTCAGCAATGGCTCGGCCAATCATTCTCATCTTCGAACTCGACCGAGATATTGTTAAGACTAAACTGTGTAGAAAATTTCATCGCGATCGGACTCTCCTTTCAAAAGTTATCGTGTTAACGGACGGCCGGCCGGACGGACACACTGACCGATTCTAGAGTGTACTCACTTTTTGAGTACACAAAAAGTGAAGATAATTGAGTCCTCATAATATAGGACTTCAGAACCTAAGGGTACCCTGATAATATAGGACTTGAGGACGTAACGATACGCCCTTAATATAGGACTTGAGGACCTAAGGGTACCCTTATAGTATAGGACTTGAGAATCTAAAGGCACCCCTATAATACAGGACTTGAGGACATAACGATACCTCCCTAATATAGGACTTAAAGACGTAAAGGTACTTAAACACGCCCCCCCCCCCCTCGGAATAGGTCAATATTGGTATAGGAAAAAACGTAGGAAATAATGACTTTTTTGCTATAACTCAGCCATTTCTTGACCAATCATTCTCATCTTCGAAC